TGTGGCCATTCTAAATAATACCCACTAAGTTATCAATCACCCAACATAACTTTGGAATGAAAAAACTTTGATGAGTCATTCCAAAGCATGGATTCATGTTTCTTATGGTTATTAAAACATGATTCCATGCTTTGGAATGACTCAGTAAAGTTGTTTCATTCCAAAGTTATGTGTGGCCATTCTAAATAATACCCACTAAGGTATCAATCACCCAACATAACTTTGGAATGAAACAACTTTGATGACTCATTCCAAAGAATAGATTCATGTTTCTTATGGTTATTAAAACATGATTCCATGCTTTGGAATGACTCTTTAATTCCAAAGTTATGTTGGGTGAGTTGATAAATTAGTGGGTAATTTTAAAGTGGCCACACATGAATGAACCAACTTTAATGATTTATTCCAGATTTATTCCATTCTTAATCATCACTCAATTCTTTGAATTGACTCTAATATTCCTTCAATAAGTCAGGCATTATTCCATGCTCATGAAGCAACCATGATTTTAATTGTTGGGGGATCAATTTATGGCCAGTAATTCAGATTCAAGTGACTTTTCCCACTTCTCAATTTGAAGTATCACTTGAATGAAAAAGCGTGGGCTTCAATCATCAGCCAGCCAGTATGTTGTTTAGGTTGTGGGTGGGTCTAGATATTAGATGTTTTGATTGTGTCACATCCATTGTTGGCTTAGTGTTGCTGGCGGGTATGCGGCTTTAAGATGTGCTCGGGTTTGCCAAGGCCGCAAAGCTTTAATGTTAATGTTTCGGCTTTGGAGTTTCTATGGATTATTACCACAAATGTAGGTTTTTAGTTGTATATGTGTAGGTTTTTAGTTGTATATGGTAAGTGAGGGCTATATGGGGCAGCAGCAAGTATGGTGAGGATATACACCCCGATGATTGGACACCGGCCAATGATTGGACACCGGTTGCTGGATGAAGAAGGATAACAATTATGGTGACTAGGAGTATATAAAGGGACACATTACCCCTCTTCGTTACCTACCCAGGTACACCCCAACAATCCCTCTTCTCATTCCCCCTGGCCAATTGGTCCACTAAGACCTTCCTGCATCACGGTGTCCTGCATGGCCAGAATAAAAGAATTGTCACCGGGCGAGGGCCGCCGGTGGACACAAGCGGTCCGCCCCCGGGGCTACCTGGATGAATTGCATGCACAGGCTCTAATTATTTGGGCGGGCCAAACACTTGAGCTAAAGGAAGACAGGCCCGTATCGCCGCCTGGCTTCTCCATTAGCTCATCCAGGTTTACCTCCAGACCTTGACCATCCACCTCCAGACCCCAGCCAACACAGTCAAATAACAATCAATCACATGCTCTGTCTAAAAACTCTAACTCAGCTCTTTCTGAATCTTCTCGGAAGACCGTCAAACAAACAAATCAACCACCAAAGGCCTTTGCAAGCTCCAAAACAAACTCGACTAGTGCTCCAGATTCATCTTCTAATCAATCCCCACTGACCATAACTGAGCTGACATGTAGGTAGTTGTTTGACATGATGATACATTATTAGATCTATCCTGACCTTCCATGACTTTCCATTCCATCACAGTTCCGGACTCGCCACCACCCAAGATGTTACCTCCGCCCACGTTCAGCTTCCGCACCTCAAACATGATCAACGAACCTGAGTATTCCGGAGGGGCAACTGATTTCAGGGAGGAATCTCAGTATTCCGGAGGCGCCACCGATTTCATGTCTGCTGTACATCCAGGCCAAGAGCAGTATCTAGACCTCAACTACTCAAACAAACATCCATGCCAAGAGCAGTATCTAGACCCCAACTACTCAAGCGAATACTATCTTGACCCTAATATCAACCAAAGCTACTCACACTCAACCTACTCGCACCAAAACTCTACTGCTACCAACCAACCGTTCGGCATGTTGTCTGTACACTTCCATCCCAATCACTCGACCCAACATCAATTGCAGAATCATACTGAAGGTTGGACCAGCAACTCACCTCATGTCAACCAAACTGCAATGTCTACCAATTCTGGGGCGCTACAATCGATTCCTATCCCTCATCAGACTACTCATCCGGGACAGCCATTGACCGGTGGACCGGCTTTTGGAACTCAAGGACCAGGTCCATTACCGATTCACCCTTCAGGCCATGGTCCCGGGCTGCAGGCCAGTGTCCGCGGATGCCTTCCTTCAAATGGTGCACGCGCACCTCGCAAGCGTGGCTCCACGAAGCGACAGGCCTCAAATCCTCGTCCATCTAATGCTCCTCCTCGGCTCCTGCTCCACTTCAAGAGATTCCAACTCCTCCTCCTCCAAAGAAATAGCCTCGAAACCCTCATTCATCAACCGCTGGCCAACCGGCTACTCCGTTACATACGAGCACTTCGAATGACCAACCTTCCACTTCCCATGGGGCCCAGCAGACCACAATCACATCTGCTGTACCGCAAGGGACGACTGGAGTTCACTCTGGTGGGGGAGAAGACGGTGCGGGTGATCTCGCGGGCGAGGTGGAGACTCAAGAGACAAGTGGTAGTAAATGGAAGCCAAACAAGAGGAAGCGCCTTGATCCACTTGTTCTGGAGTCTCTGAGGGGCCTCCAGTTGGATCAGCTGCAAAAGAAAGTTGCCCACCACAGGGTTGGGCATTATAAACGTCTGGCGGCCGAAGATTGTGTTGCCCTTGGTGCAGCTTACTCCCGATACCAACAAGAAGTGCACTTGATTGCGGCCGAAAGACTCCTCAAACCCAGACCCGTCTTGAACCACGTGGGCAGCCTGAGCCGATTCCGAGGCCCGAACATGTACATCAACTTTTGCAAATATGACATCGAGGCGCGTAAAGTCTACTATGACAGTAAGTCCCTTCTCTCCTTCTATCTATCATGAAGCGGCCTGTCTGCCTGTCTTTCTCATATTGCCTGTTCTTGATCAACAGAAAGTCGATCGATGCGTGAACGAAAGCGTGAATGTGGCCGCCTTTGGAGAGCTCTTGACCAACAAACCAAGTTAAAGTACAAAGACATCAAATTCCTCAAGACATTGCCAAATCCGTTTGGACGTGGTGAATGCCCTGGACCCGATGGTGGGACTTCTGAAGCATCCCAAGCAAAAAACAAGAAAAGTCGCTTCTATCGGAGTGCCGAAACCGAACTTTGGAGCAGAAAGGTGATGCTTGATGTAAGTTGTCAGATCATAGTTCCTTCCAACACCTACCTGCAGAATCTAACTGACTTGTGGTTTGTTTATAGTTAAAAAATCTTGGTGCCGCGCACGACATTGAAGGGTTCGTCATGTTGTATAAGGGGAATTCAAACGAAGTTGTTAGTGGCGGTAGCTTTATGGGAGAGCAGTTTGTGGATATGTTTGCAAAGGATAAGAAGTTGGACATCAGTTCCAACTTTCTATCCTTTGCAAGCAGTCAAGAGGTGATCAGGAAAGCAACTGGTCAAGTTGCTAAAGTGGTCCGACCTAGGAAACGAGCCCAAAAGCTTGGTTCAAAGGAAACCGCTTGGAATCTTGGTACGTCTCCTAAGGTCTCTCGATCTCTCTTGTTTGTTTTACTTATTATACAAACTGTTTGGATACAGGAGGAAGAGAAAAGAATCGAGATGCCGCCCGAGAAAAATTGAATGAAGCAATCAGTAAGTTTTCCGTGTGAACCCCACATCATACATTTACTGACAGTTGTTGTAATGACAGGCAAAGCGACACACATCAGGAGGAAGTGGCCCGGAAAAACAACCGAGAAATCTCTGAAGAAGCTCGGTGTTACTTTGCGCATCAAGGACAACAGCTATGGAATCAACGTGTCCCATTTTTGCCAAGCCCGGTGCCATGGGTGACGAGCAATTGCAAAAGGTCTTGAGGGCCTTTGCCGAAGATTTGGTCGTTCTCACGGGGCCACCAGCACCTGAGGTTCCCGAGACGTTGGGTGCTGATCCCGAAGAGACCTCGGACAAGGAGTTGGAACCTTCAAACTCAAACAAAGGTGAATGTGTGATTGCGAAGGCTCCCAAAAAGAAGATCACAACCGATCACCGCCGTCTCAAGAGCAATACTGCCGGAGCCAGCGCTAAGGCCGCTCGGACCACAAGCAAGAATGCTGGTAAGAAGTGAAAGCGACGTTTGTCTGATTTTTCCAAAAGCGGGCAAGACACGCCGAGTTCTTCTTCTGATGATGGAGATGAGGATCAAGATGCCAATTTCAACGACAGCGATGACAATGATGAAGATGATGACAATGAAGATATTGATGATGAAGATGAATATGAAGAAGGGGATGTCGATGATGAGGTTGATGACTGACCGTTCTTCTCTCTTATGTGTATTTGTACCATCAAACATGAATCCCCACTCAGCCTGATGCTTGTTTCTTCACATTTTGTCTTGTCTGGTTTTCTCCGGTTCCTCTTATAAATACAAAACAAAACAAAAAAAATCTCCTGTGTCCAATTCCTCTCACAGATTCTAAAATACATTTCATCTCATCTTCTGTTGCTTTTGCTCTCATGTATATAGACCTCACATAAAACTTAAACCCCAAAAAAATTGCCTTGCAAATCATACACGAATTGTATTACTAGAAAAAAATGGGAGCGAAAAATGAGAGGAAAAAACCGAGACAAAATGAGAGGAAAAAACCGAGACAAAAAAAATGAGGTTGAAAGTATTTTGAGAGAAAATATATTGAGCTCGAGATTGTGTTGTCGGTGGGGTGTTGTGTATGGAGTGTGTGCGGGTGTGTAAGACGGGTTGTGGTAAGTGATGTGTAAGGCCCACCGTGGTAAGGCCGATGATGTGTAAGGCCGGTGTGGGTGTGTAAGGCCGATGTCGGATGTGTAAGTAAGGGAGCCGGGGTGCGGGGTGTGTACACCCGATGATATGTGTTTTAGGGGAGTGATGTGGCTGTATGGTGACATGTGATGTAGCTGGGCGAGGCTGGGTGGCAGGCCTCAAGGGGCACCTGGGGAATGAGGGACTTAGAGAAATTTTTCCAGGTGGCAAAAAGCTGGAAATCGAGGTACCCCTGGAAACTCTGGAAAGTCTATACGTTTGCGGGGAACTAACCGGTCTGTGTAGTATAGGACCTTTGTGTGAATGTACTTATAGTATAA